TCTTTCATCTTTCTTGTCCAATTTTCTCACTACAATGTCAAGTTAATCAATTTAAAATAATTCCAAACATACTCGAGCGTACTTTTTTCTGCTGTTTGTTTTTAGACTTAACTTTTGACACTAAACTTAAAATATACATTTGTTAAAATAATTAACATTTTCTACAATAATAATTACGCTTCTGTTAACCAAATACGATTCTCATTTATTAACATACCTACTATAGTTTTAAATACATTCTTAACAACCATAAATCTACACTCAAGATTCTATCATTATCAGTGAATATCAGGTAAGAATAGTTTTAATACACTAACTACATTCATTAAGTAATAACTATTAGACCTTAGTACTTTCCCCTTTAATACTCCCTTCTTTCTTTTAGTTATTACAATACTTATAAATTATACCGAAAAATCTACTTGATTCAATTCTAAATGCATCTAGATGACATTGACACGCCTTAAAATTCTAGGGGTACTAAAATTATATTATACTCACGATGGTGAAAACCTTACAACTCCGAGTAACATACCTTAAATACATACTTACCAACACCATTTAAGTCATCATAAATAAATTTAAAAAAGAATCATATTACTAATTAGTCATTATATTACATTATTTTTCGGTTTTCTTTATAATATTATATATTCTATATCCCATTAGTCTTAACATTTAAAAAAATGGTTGAGGCAAAACAAACTATTTTCACAATTAGTCATGTAGTGTATAAAGTAATATTTACATTAATTTCATTACTAAATAATAAACGTTAGGTCTACATAAAAAACATGACATACCATATTTTATAAATTTATTAAAAAAAGTAAATAAATTTAAAATTTACGAAAAATGAATTTTAAGATTTTTTAAAGTAGCCGTGAAATAAGCCTATATGGACGAATAAACGGTAGCGTTTGGATGTGAACGGATATATATGATCACGCAACCAGTAAAGTTAGCCGCTCACTGGCTGGAAAGGCTATGAAGGCAGCCGCTTCAAAAACACGTCTTTCAATGACAATGGAGTAAAAGGTTACTGCATAAGTGGATCTGGATGTGCCGACAGTTAGTAGGGGGTGTACCCACCAGGTGTTATTATCAAGCGAATACACGACATATGCAGAAGTGTTGAGATAGGCTCCTGCACCCAACCAGAGACATAGATGCATCTAACGGACACAGATCGTTTATTTTTATGAATTTCACTTATTATTAATTAATATTTCAATATATAATTATTTAAAAAAAGAAAAAGTTCAAATAAAACGACGTGTCCAATTGCTTATTAAAAAAAATATTGTTAACAAAAAAAATAAGTCTAATATTATTATAATTTAAGTTAGTTTGCCATAGTAATCCGTACTAATATGTTTATATAATATATTATTGTAATATATTTTATAGAGAAATACGTCTAATTTTTTATTAACACAGTACGATCAGTTATATTTTGCGGTTAAACATTACTATATATATTATTGTTCTTTTGTTTTTGTCTTAAAAAGATTAAAGCTGATAGAAGTTTAATTAATAGATCGAGTATTACTGCAGCAACGTATAGTGATTGTCAAATAAAAAGTTTTTCTCCATTTCCGATAAAATAAATTTAATTTACAATCAAAATTTAAAAAAAATAACTTTTAAATAGATTTATCATACCAAATGTTTACAAAATATATGCAATGAAAATTGTATAAAAATTAAAAAAGAAGTGTGTTAAAATATCCCCCATTTTATAAATATATTTAATTATATAAAAAGTGCATAGCTATTTAATTTTTCGTTCGTTCCTTTTTTCATTATCACGGTACACCAATGATTTCAAACAAACATATCAAATTTAATATATACTGCACCGAGTTCCACAAAAGTAAAAAAAAACCAGCACAGTGGGGTCGTAGCATAGTTGGGTCCAGCATAGATGATATCTGACAGTGATTGAAATCACTATTATAAAAAACGCTTCAATGCAAATCTATAGATAATGTTTAATTTAAAAAAAAAATTTGTCAAAAAAGTAGGTCAAGTAAAAGCTGAGAAAATAAATGATAGCTACAAAAAAAACCACATAGTAAAATAATATTAATATGAATTTCATCTCACGAGAGGAGACTACAGTAATGAGATCCTTGATATTTATTGAAGTTATTGAATCTAAATGACATAATAATCAAATGAGTTAAACATTTTTTTCTAACTCAAAAAGAATTAAGAAACAATTCAGTGCCACAGACGTGAACGACCCAAGTGACCTTCTCAGAAACCGTACGTCGCATTCGTCACTTAATAAAAATGGAAATTTAGCTAGTTCAAATTTTAAAGTTATTTTTCTCGACTTCAAAGAAACAAAAAAATTTAAATATGTTTAGCTTTTTATACCATGTCAATTGGATTGATATAATATTTATGAAAATCAGTGTAATCCCCTTATAATAAAATGAAATACAAAACCAAGAATTTTAACACAAAAATAACATATTTTTGAATACAGTAGCTATTTTCACCATGAAGATAAAATAAAATCCGAAATTTTTTTTTTTTAATATTTAAGTATATTACAATAAGCTTTAATTAAGATATATATAAAAGTGTCAGTATTTCCGGAACACTTTAAAAAATTAAGTTGAAAAAGTCAATTTTTTGTGAAAAAGTTGTCATTTTGAATCCCTCCCTGTGGGCAGGAAAAAGGTTCTACTTTCTATATGCATTTTAAAGATTTGAACCCCCCCCCTGTATTAAGGGAAATAGTTCGAACTAAGAAATCAGTATGCCAAATGAAAGATGTATATAAATACTACTATTCACGAAAAAATTGTATTGATCCAAACATTTTTTAAGAAGTTATCGCATTTTAAAGTAAAAAATGTAAAATATAAAATCGAGAATTTTCACACAAAAATAGCATTCGGTAGCCGTTTTCACCGTGAAGACAAAATAAAGTATATTACATTAGCTTTAATTTAAGATATATATAAAAGTGTCAGTATTTCCGGAACACTTTCAAAAATTAAGTTGAAAAAGTCAATTTTTTGTGAAAAAGTTGTCATTTTGAATCCCTCCCTGTGGGCAGGTAAAAGGTACATCTTCTACGCTCACATCAGCATTCAATAACATCCCTCAATCTCCTTTTTGGTCTTCCTCTACCTCTTCTTGCTTCAAAATTCATTTCTATAACAGTTCTTACAGCTTTCCATTCTTCTATCTTCATAACATGACTAAACAATCTAAGTTTATTTTCTGTCATCTTATCCACAATTGACGCAACACCTATACTTCCTCTTATATGCTCGTTCCTTATCCTATCTTTTCTAGTCACTTCACTCATCCAACTAAGCATTATCATCTCTGCTACACTTATTCTCTGCTCTAGTTTCTTATCAACCGCCCAACACTATGAACCATACATCATAGCTGGCCTCACAATTTCATACTAAATTTAAAAACTATAATTAGTATTTATTCATATATTATATTTTAAAACAAAGAACTACTAATCAGGATATAATTAAAGAAATAAGAAATGATGTTGCTTTTGGAATAATCCACCAATTTCTCTAAATGAAACACTATCTACAGATTTACATCGAAGCGTTTCTTATGATAGTGATTTTAATCACTGTCAGATATCATCTATACTTGTCCCATTTATGCCTCGTCCACACTGTGCATCGACCCCACTGTGCTACCGATTTTCTTTATAAAATCGACCGAAAAATCGGGTATGTTTATTTTTCGATATCGATCGACTATGTTTGATAACAAATCAAACAATTTTCGTCGTCTACCTGTCATTATTTTAATTATGGCTGTTGTGGTTAAATATGAGAGTGGTGGTCATTTTAGAGAATATGAGCAATTAATTGCCGTGATCGATGAAAATAGGACGAACACGAGATAAAAGTAAATCGTCGTCCACCTTGAACCATATGAAAAAAAAGCAGGACGAAAAATGATGACAAACTTTCAGTAGTTTGAAAATAGTATAGCCGCCGTCAATCGGCTCGTTGTACTCATTGTACACTCTATGACCAAGACGTGTGCGCATATACAGTGCGTAAATACATTGTATGGGAAAGAAGAAATTTTTTTCTAAAAGTATCGTGTTTTAGATGTAATTTTTTTATACATTTGTATGCTGTTGTTCCACGGATGACGAAATCAAAACGGCTTGATTCAATAAATTTCATCGTCTATCACTACGACTAACCCAACCACAACTATACGAAATCGTCCAACCCGGTAACAGATTTTTCTGTAAAAAAAAAAACGTCCACTTTGTAATATTTTCTATAGTAACGGTGGAAATACGGTGACGTCGATAAAAGATTATCGCATTTCAATGACTCATTCTCTACGAGTAATCGAATAAAATTAAAAAACCGCGTAATTTGTTGTAGACATGTTAAGGTTTCTTTTTTTATTATGTTTTAAATACGCATCGAAGCATTTTATACAGTGATTTTAATTACTGCCAGATTATGTGATGTATAAATGTATAGATTATATATACATATTTATATATAAATATGCGATTTTAATCACTGTACTAATTTAGAAAATGCGCCATAAACTCGCATCGCATTTGTTTTTTAATTTCCAATGAAATCAGCAATAGATTTTATAAAGTAATCAAAATGTAATAACGCGACTCGGATTTATACAATAGAATATTTTTTTTTTATAAAATCAACCGAAACGTTGAATATATTTATATTTCAAAATTAATAGGTTAGAAAAAAAAATCAATTAAAATTGAATTTGTCTACCGGCTGTAATTTCAACCGTACTCATGACGTACATATATCGCGACGGTGATTAAACCGAATATACGAGGAATAAATTGCCCCGTGAAATACAATAGGGCATACATGAGAGTAAATTCGCCTTGAACATGCAAAAATAAAATAACGAAAAATAATGACAAATTAATTTGCAGTCATTGCAAAAAGTACAATAATAATTGACTAGGAATTTATTCATTGCGCTAACGCTTTATAGCCAAGACGTATAAAGTTTGGAAACGAATGGACAAGAAAAAATTATTTTTGTAAAACATAATAGTTTATTCTATAGTAAAATAGAAGACAAATGCGTGTAAAATTTACATATTGGTTAGCGAAAGAAATGTCGAATCGCATATAATAGGAGATTTCGAGTCGATTTTAAACAGTTTAACGGTTTGATTTTTTTAATCTCGGCCGTGCGAAAATTTATCTCGTTCCGCGTGATTTTTATCAATCGAAAAAATGTGTTTCAAAGCGTATTTATTTTTCTGGATTTTCGTTATCACTATATTTCTATGGAATTTACAAAAAGTGAGTTTTCCTCCTACCTATTGTTTATAATAGTTTCGAAAATTAATAGATGGTTTTTTTTTTCTAAATTAAAGGATTATTGTTCGGCTTTACCCAAAGGCACCAGAATGGCCATTCGGTACGACAAATTCGAATGGGTGATAAACGACATTTTCGGACGCGTCAACCAGGTTTACGTCAGTCAGTACAACGGCACCGATTTCGCCAATATAGCCATGACGTTCGATTTCGATTCTGTTTTGCATAGGGTGAGTGTTCCCGCCATGTGTCTCCCCCTCAGACCTTATACGTTTTGATTTCTATTCTCTGATTTCAGCTGACCGTGGACATGATAAGGTGCAAGGAGCACTACATAGACTGTGTGAACTACAGGAGTTTCGAGGTAGAGCGATTCTGCGGAAAAGAAAAAGCCATACTGTTTTTCGCCAAAATCGGCTACGTCAACCGCGAGTTGTTGTGCACGACCGACAAAGTAAGACGATATTACACTGCCGTTGATCCGTTTAGCTAATAGTTTTAAATTAAAATTTGATTAAATCGTTAAGTTAGCTTTGTTTATAATTTTAATTTACTCGTTAATATTAATAATTCCGGCATAACGACGATATTTTGTTTGTTTGTTGCCTCCCCCCCCAATAAAGGGACTGTTGGTGATCAAAAACGCGACTCTGAACGTGGACAACATAGTTGAGGCGTTTGCGCTCGCTCTGGACAAGTGGTGGGAGAGCACGTGGAAATGGGACTGTGTTTTTTTCTCTCGCGACGGACCTTATATCATGCGGTTGACAGGACAGCTCCGATTTCTTCTGTTGAGCGGACGGAGGACTCGTAGACATTAGATAAAAAATGTTATCCATAAATTATTATAGTTATTTGTTTTGTTATATTACTAATGTATTTTTCATTGTTTGCGTAAAAAATAATTTAAAAATTTAATATACAATTTTTTCAGATTGAATGAATACATTTTAAAAGTTTCTTAGTTAAATTTTTTTTTTTCGATTGCTGCCGTTGGCTTTTACGACGTTCGAAGCGTAATCCCATTCTAACCGAAACCAATCCAAATAGAACAACCCGATTCACCGAGGTTTTCGTGAAAAAAATTTAAAAAAAAAATACGAGATATTTATTTCGCCTCTTGTCTACGATGAGTAAACTAGAAGAGTGTCGTCCACACACGCTGTGCAAGCTATATATATATATATATATATATAGCGGTCATTAGACCGCGTTCGAAAAATCCGGAATCCTACACGCACAGTTGTTACCTTTCACCTCGTCACAAACAAAACCGTCGTACGACGAGGTTGTTGTTGTCAAACAATCTCGGTCGTTGCTCCACGCTGTTGCCGCTAAAAATAATAATAATAATATTGTTGGCGGACACACGTTTGACGAATCAGCAGCGCTACCCTGAGCCTATCACTCAGTATGTAGTGTACATGCGGGTTCCGTTAGGAACCAGGAAAATTACATCGGAAATATGGGGCGTACAATATGTTTTCGACAGGGTGACTACCACCGATTACGGGCATATTTACACGTGTACACTGCGTGAAAACGAAACGGGTCGGTGGTGGTCGTTAAACCGAAATCACTCACCTCAACCGTCGATGACCACAATCGTCGGCGTCGTCATCATCGTTTCCACTACTCGACGTTTGTCGACAGAATAAAATTTTCGGGGAAAACCTAAGTACGGAGTAGAGTTGTTTTCACAGCCATCGCAATGCCCACCGAGAATTTCGTCTACGGTACACTATAAATGTCTTCCGGACGTGTCGTGTAATTGAATAAAAAAAATAATAGTAAAAAAATACCGGAGCTGTCTACATAAACGCATTACCGCCGGCGACGAGTCGTCTTCGGAGAAGAAAACGGCGTTCCACGATTTTTCCCACCACTTGTCCAACGACAGCGCGAACGATAACACTATGGTGTCTGTGTTTACGGTTGCGTTTTTGAACGCGTAAGATCCCTGCAAATTAAACGTGCGCGCACACAATAAATGGTTAATCTGGATATTATCATCGATTAATGAGTGCAGATAATCATCGAAAACGGGTGATTGAAATTTAAGGAAAACGAAATCAATATACATTTTACTCGATTATAATTTTTTAAATCAATAATTGCGAACGAGAGAGAGAGTGTGTGTGTGTGTGTGTGTGTATGTAGTAAAACAGGAGGCATCTTACTTTTTTGACTGTGCACAACGCCTCACGTTTAACGTATCTTATTCGGAAGAACAGCAGCACGGCATTTTCGTTTCCACAAAACCGCGTCAACTCGAAACTCCTATAGTTGGCGCAATCTAAGTAGTGCTCCTTGCACCTTATCACCTCCACGGTCGCCTGAAATGGGTGCAAAAATCATTATAGAGAACATGGCGACGNCGCAAAAATCATTATAGAGAACATCACGACAACTATGCTCATTTCACCCTGGTCATAACGAAATTGAAATCGAACGTCAGCGCCACGTTGGCGAAATCGGTGCCATTGTACTGAGTGACGTACACCTCGTTGGTCCGCCCGAACTCACTGTCGACGGCCCATTCCACTCTGTCGAACCGAACGGCCACCCTGGTGCCCCTCGGCAGAGCCCGACAGTCCTATGTGAATATAAAAACGCGGTCGATTAATTTCTTAACAGTTTGGTATACGAGCGACGAATGAAATCCGCCGTACTACCTGTGAATTCCGTAGAAACAGTGCGACCACTGACAGCGACCAAACGGACGCGGCGGACGCTTTGAAACGCATTTTCGGCCGGCGAATACTGTACACGGGGGCTGGGCTATAAATGCGTCTGCCGACAGAGTCCCGCGTCTGGAAATAGATTACGCAATTACTGTTGGACGGGACAGAGGAGAGGTGGGTATAAAAATGACCGAGTGATATCGATAAAAATTAAGATTTCTTATAAAAAATGATTCACTCGCCTATATATATATACAGGATGTTCAGTAAATTAGGAAACAGGTTTCTATTATTCTCATTTTTTTAACAATTGGCATGTTTCTTACTTACTGAACACTATGTATATATATGTGTGTGTAGGTTGTGTTTGTTACAAGACGTTGATAACGATTCCGACGGAGTTTGTCTAATAGCAATCGATATGCATTAATGGGTCAAGTAAAAAAAAAAAAACATACACACACGTAAATCACTTTTAACGTTACTTTTTTCGTTTATGAAAACCTAATGAGGAAAAATTTAGTCGGTCGTTATTTTTCGTACGGCGTTCTGGTCGATGAGATAACAAAGTAGTAAATTATATTGTATGATTTCAATAAACAATTTTTTTTTTTATTGGTTACAATATGAGAAAACTATACATCAATTTTAAAATGAAATATATACTTACGACTGACAAAGTGATATCATTGCCATGAAATGACTTTTGATTATTGTAAACAACTTTTAGTCACTTCGCATGGTCTATGCGTAAGAGTAGGATAAACAATTATTAGTTATCGGTTGTAAAATCGATATAAAATGATGTTTAGTCATAATTAATATACCTACATAAATGTTTTCTAAGCATTTGCTCGACTAAAAATAATAATTTTTGATTAAATTCTAATAAGCAGCATTGCAAAAAAATATGATTGGTAGTTACTATCATAATTAAATATAAATATTGTCAAGTCTTTTAGACTTTCTTATAATTTTTTGAATTTACCAAGTACCAGTCTAAATTTTTTAAAATCATTTCCATTTAAAGTATCCATTTTTAAAACGTATTTTAAACATGATTGTTGTACTAATTAAAAATAATAAAAAAACATAATATATTTTAAATTATTATTTTTAAGATAGTACGTTCGAAGAAAAAGTAGCGGCTTACACAACTACCAATATTATGAAAGCGAAATATAAGCTCGGGAATTTAAACTCTATCATTAGTTCAAGTCGAAAGGCGATGCGAAAATGGCAAGGTAAAAATGTGAAGAAAGTAATTATTTATTGCACTCCCAGCGGCTAAAAAAACATTTAAAAACTCTGTTCGAAAACCTAGTATTCCTTGCACTATAAAAATACCGAAATTTGGAGGAGTGCTGCCCTTGATTCCTATTTTCATCGGTGTTTCTGCTCTAGGCTCGTTGACAGGTGCTATCGCCAAATATAATCAAAGTGGTGAATGAAGTAAGAAAAAATAAGGATTCGAAAAGTCCAGTTAAAATCGGTGGAGGTATGCTCTCAAAAAGAGGATCAGCATTATATTTGAAAACATTTCAAAAAAACTAATTCATATGCTGAAATTTTTACTGGAACGATGCAAGATTTTTTAACTTTATCTTTTTAAAGTAACCAGTCTAGAATGATCAGTACTTTTTTCCAATCCATTGAATTAGAAAAGGATTAGATTAAATTAGCACTTTTGAGTTTAAAATTTGCAATTCTAAACCAAATGTTATAAAAAAAATAATTTTTTTCGTGTTTAAACCTATAATATTCTGATTAAGATAAAGTATGTCGAATGAAAAAGGGATTATTAAAAAATATCATTTCTCATAAAAAAATTTTGTTGATCCATACACTTTTCAATAAGTTATAGCATTATAAAATTAAAAATGTAAAAAATAAAATCGAGAATTTTCACACAAAAATAGCATTCGGTAGCCATTTTCACCATGAAGACCAGTCCAGGGGTCAAATGTTTTTTTTTCATAATGAAGTACATTACATTAGATTTAATTCAATATATATATAAAAGTGTTAGACCTTCCGGAACACTTTCAAAATTAATTTTTTGTGAAAAAGTTGTCATTTTAAATCCACCCCTGTGAGCTGGTTAAGTGTCAAATTTACAAAAAAATTATACCAAATGACAGATAAAGACATCAAGCATCTATAAAAAAAATTATATTGATATGTTCATTTTTGAAAAAGTTACAGCAGATTTTAGTAAAAAAAATTTTGCAAATTTCGAAAATTAGTGATTTTTAAATTTGTAATTTTTTTGGAGGTTTACGGGGGACGAGGGAAAGTTTTTCAATTTTTGAGGGTAATGTCTTCGACTAGATACGATTTAAGATTTTTTGACATATTGTTCATCAAAATCGGTCCAACGACATCTGAGATTAAGCGTTCACAGACACAAAAAAAAAATAATATAAAAAAAAACAAATCATAGTAAAATTAATACCTTTTCATCTTCGCATCGAAACTAAAAAATGATTTTTAGTTTCACTTGAATTTGACAATAGATTTTTACTATTGTAATCAAATTTTATAATAATACGCTCAATTGTGAAGATCTTTGTAACAACTTTTTGATTACTTCTTTTAGTTAAAGTAAATCATAAAAATTAATGAAGTTCTGAATATTTCAATTATAGAATCTTTCTAAAACCAAAAGTTACTTAGAAATTATTACTATGAGTAGTGTATAAATGTTCAACACCTGATCGCCTGATCGCTTGATCGCCTGATTACATGATCGAGTGTTTTGGTATTTTTTCAATGAAAGTTGTCTTTATACGACACCAGTTCCCCCCATTACGTCATTACCTCTAAATGTCATTAGTTCACTTGTGCGACATTAGTTCAACCGTACGTCACCACGTCCACCCGACATTATTTTACTTATACGTCACTACGTCACTTGTTTTGATAAATTTTTGTGAGTATGGTTAGAGGTGGTACTTCGTATATTGGGGTGGTGTACCATCATGTATGGACTTATTTATACATGTGAAAGAGAAATTAATTTTTACTCGCCATTGCGGGTCATGTTTCGAGGGTGGTTTTACATGATCCTACGATACGATTTCACCTGGTACCATATTGTTATATTTTCGATGAATGTAGGTGCATAATATGCCGTTTATGTATATTAAAAATTCACTCACCACGCTTTATATAACTCGGGGGATATTTAATTCCATAAAAATACA